TCGTTTCGTTTCGTTTCGTTTGACTCTGCGAGCACCCAAGCACCCAAAGGCCGACACCCTCTTTTGGCTGGAATATAAATGTGAAAACATTTGGCACTTGTGTCTGGTATTTATTTGTTGTGCATGTACGTTTGTATGTATATATGTATGTATGTATGTAGTTGTTTATTTATGATTGTTGGAATGATTTGTTTGGTGTTGTTACAATCAAAAATATTGGCAAATCTTTTATTGCAAATTTTCTTGATTGTATGTAAGGGGTGTGTTTGTTTTGAGGTTTTTTACTCAGTAAATAATTGAAAATAATACAAATATTTTTAAATTATGCATAAAATGATTAATGCATAAAATAGTAGTTTTACTTTTCAAAAAAAAAAAAAAAATATTAAAATAAAAATTATAAAGAATTATACATATATTTGCTTAAAAAAGTCTACCACTCCAAAAGCTTAATATATACACTACTCATTTATTACATATATACATATGTATGTACATGCATACATATTTAAATTTATGTTAAATGTTTGTAAACATTTTTATAGCCCTCAACCATCTGCGTAACAACATTAACGCACATTCACGCACTTACAAGTAATACTCCTGCATTTATCACTCAGCGTGAGTTATGAAATTATACCGTTGTAAGAAAATATTTACCGAAGGACACCAAATACACCCCTGATAATTTTTTGATGTAACCCAAGGTTGGTGTTTATAAATATTTAATGAGGGCTGTTGCTTGTTAGGCAATGGGGCTATTTACATAACGATGCAATTGGGAGGAGAAGTGTTTGAGGAAGTGTTGGTTAAATGAAACTGAAAAGCTTTGAAAGAAATAAAGATTTTAGTATACCCTCAATTGTAAGTAAGCTGGGTAGGTAAAAAAATCCCTTTCGCAAAAGTAAGAATTTTTGGGAAAAATTGTGTGTTAATTTAATTTCTCGGCTTTCAAGCAAGATTTCTTCAATGGATTTTCTCGTGTCTCTAGCAATAGAGAACAACGTCTGACATTTAAAGGCACCTTATCACAATTAATTAATGTCTCAACAGGAGTTCCTCAAGGTAGCCAACTCTGCCCGATATGATATATCTTCAGTAACAAAGCATTCAAATAGTTTTTTTATACATCATTCGGTGAAAGACGTTGGTTACAAAAAGATCAAGACAATTAAGTTATTAAGAATGGCATGCTCTTAAACCTTCAGAAGTGTAAGACCTTATGCTTTTCACGAAAACTTATTAAACCTTTATACGCTTAATAACTTCATTTAATAACTACAGTCTAGAACAGGTGTACAGCTTTGTTGATTTGGGGGGTTATGATGGACCCTAAGCTCAACTTTCAACTTTAAATCAATATCACAGTCTTAAAAGCTAAAAATGTTTTTGCCTTTGTCAAAAGATGATCAAGCACTTTATAAGACTTTGATAAGGCCCACCTTAGAATAGAAATGGAACCCCAATTATCAAATTCATACCGATAAGTTTGACTCTGTACAAAAACAGTTTTTTCTTTTTGCCTTAAGACGGCCTCCCCATACCAATCGTTTAAAGCTTCTAAATCTATCTACTCTCGCAAAGAAATTTTGGACGCATTGTCCGTACTGAGACTTCTTAACGGTTCAATTTGCTGTTCAGGGCTCTTGCCTGAGGTAAACTTTATTGTTCGAACTCGTGTATCTAGGCAGTTTAGGCCTTTACTATCAAAGTCACAAATTATGAATTGAATCAGTCTTTTCGCCGATTATGGCAAAATTTTAATTTTCATTCGAGCTCACATTTTAACATCAAAAAAAATATTTTTGCTTCTCTCGATAATTAAATTTTAAAATTCTTTATTTAATAATTTTCAGCTGTTAAATAATTATTTTTTTCTGTAGTCGAAATCTCAACATTTAACTAACGCTTCGCAATTCGATGACTCAGCATATTCCGCACGTTATGTGGGTGTCGCCTGTCGTGTCGGTTGGTTGTGTTGCAGATATTCGTTGAGCTTATAATTATTAAACCAGATATTCAGATTAAATTGAACATTTCCAATTCAAATATCATCGTTACTTAGAGATTTTTATCAGTAAGAACGTAAAATTTTGTTGTATTTCGTTAAATTAATTGCAAGTGTGTATAATAATAGTTTCAATCAGAAATGCTCAACAAACGCAACGATATCATTTCGTTTCGCTAACAAAAAAAATTAACTCAACGAAATGAAATAATTTCGTTTCGCCGCCATGTCATCGAAACGAAGTGAAATCGTTAACGTTGAAACCGCACAAACTCATTGTTAACGTTAATTTTACAATGGTTGCTTGCTTTGGTTTAACAGCACACTTCAAAATTAACGATTTAACATTATCTGTTAACGATTTAACATTAACGACAACTTTCCATTTCGGGAAAAAACGAAGTTTAAAGTTTGTTTGATAATCATTTTAACTTTAATATTTCCAAATGTTTCAACCGAAACGATAGAAATTTTTGATTAACATGAAATTTATTGTTACTATATATCCATGGTTTCAACCAGAGAACGTATATTAAAGAGAAGGACTGGAGCGCGCCGATTGCCATTTGTTTCACCTACGAGATTGCTAAGAGAATATTGCACCGCTAGTTAACAGCGAACTACTAGAGGCTGACAAATTATATACATTGCTATTGGGGAGACAATTATTTTATTAATTCATTATTATCTTGCTGAGAATTCTTGACAAACAGAGTGAATTTCTGGCGACGGTGTTAAAATAGTCTCTTATTTCTTTCGCCGATTCTGGTAATTCATATGCTGACCGCAATCGGTCATTCTCGTTATTTGACGTTCTCTGTTTGAACTGTCAAGTTGAATGCTAAAAAATTATCGGTATATCATACGATTTTTATGCCAGGTTTATATACAACACAAAATTTGTTGTATTTTGTTACCAACTTCGTCATAATTGTGGTGGTCGAGAAAGAAACACAAATTAAACAATAATTTTTTTTTAAATATAGTATTCCCTTTGTCCTGAGAGAAAGAGAACTTAAAACTTAGGAGTTGCTTCCTTTAAAATATATCGATATTTTTTTTAATCGTTCGTCAATCTTCTCTTCCGGTATGAATTGCTGTGACCGATATATTCGATAAAAATATACCTATAGTAGACCGCTTGGAGTTATTAAAGGATTTTTCCATAAGGTAGGGTTCAACCATTTCCCAAATTCTGTTCTCTCTTATTATTGGCCGTTATATTTTCTTAGTAAAAAGTCAACCATTAATTAAATTTAAGAATTTCTTTACCTTAGTTAGAGTTCTTTTTTGCTATTTTGAGTATCATTAAGCCTCTCTCATAGAAACCCTTGGAACAATTACCAAAAAAAAGGGAAAATCGATTTTCATAGATTCTCTCAGGGCCAATTCTCCACCAGCAAACTCATTTCCCTTAGACAGGAACAGAGGGTAATCACGTGGAGTGAAGTCCAAACTATAAAGTGGATGCATGAAAGTCTCCCAACCCGCTCTCGTAGCTTCTGGCGAGTCATTAACAGCCAATGTGTGGTCTTGCGTTGTCTTGATGAAACATGATCTTCTCCTGTGGGCCAATGCTGGGCGTTGCTGGGCGATTGCCTTCTTCATATGGTCCAATTGCTGACGCCAGAGGTCCAAACCAAGATGATTCCTTGCCAATCCTACCAAACATGCAATAAAAGCATCCCGACAGTCAATCCTAACTTGGAGATCGTTTGTGTCGGCTTAGAGGGGCAATTAAGGCAGTTAAATGTGTCTACAGATAGTTCAAATGTGTAAGGACACGCAAAGTGGAAAATAATAGACGATTGTGGGAACACACAATGAATATCACTTGAGTCCCAGGTCATATGAATGTATTTAGCAAAGGAAAGGCACATGTTTTCACAACAGACCCTTCGGCTCCTTCAAATGTTGTTTTAAACAGTGGACCATGGTAACGAGGAATTAAGGTCCTGAGGCACTTCCACAGCAGGACGTAGCACCAATTTATTTAAGGGTGCGTGGACAGACCAAACTGTTACCAACTTTAATCAAACGATCACTTAGTATTCTTGTGGGTGTATTGACGTGGCATCTATTTCGACATATTATCTCCACAACTACGATAAAGTAGAATCGGCTGAGTGCAGACCATGCACAGAACACTATGAAATGCTCAAGCACCACCTTAGCTAAAGTATGGCCTTCAGCCGATTGAAACGTCACATTTTTCACTGTGTCCCAAATCGGACCTTACCGGGGTGGATAGTCATGGTTGGAAGAAATTAAACCAGTTAGAAATTAAATTGAGCGAAATATGTTCGCAAAAGTATAGTTAAGTGATATAAGGAAGAAGAAAGAGCCTACACTATAACTGAGGTGCGGCCGTTCGCGGTTACCTCCTCAATTTCCCTTATCAACTAACCAAACAATCTTGTTGATCTTTTCACTATACGCCTACGAATTTATGATGTAAAATCGAATGTAACTCCGCTCTTGTTTGCCACTTCATGCATGGACTATAATATCGAGAGAGCGGCCGCTATAACCAATTGGTTAGCAGTGCGTTTGGAAGATAAAGGTTCGAGTCCTGGTCCATCAAAAATTTAAAATATTTTTTTTTTAATAGCGAACCCCTCTCTGCAGTGAATGTCGAGCGCTTCGAGCGTATTTCTGACATGAAAATCCAAATTTTTGCCTTTTGTTGAGAAAATATGTAGACACACACCAGCGTGTTTTCGTTGACCCGGACGTGATGGGGTGTGTTATATAGGTCATCTTTCCATCATATGCGGTATTCGCAAAAGACAATAAATTCCCCACCTTTCTCTAGCAAATTCCCAAAGCGGTCGCATCCAATGTTGTCGAGGTTCACACCACATACGCCATACTATAACACGGGAATAGTGAAAGACTTGTAGAGTTTGGTATTTGTTCGTCGAAAGGGGACTGTACTTTTCTATTGCCTACTCAATCCTGAGTTTTGTGTAGAAGATCGAATTCTCAGTTTAGCACGTTTGCTACTTTTGCATGATTTATTTGAAAATATTTTCTTTATACATATATTCATAACATTTTTAGAAATCTTTTTAAACATAAAATGCATACAATAATTATGTAATCAATTAAATTAGTTTGCGAAATGCCATAATTCTAAATATTTACATTGAATAAGTGAGCAATAATACTATATACTTAAAACCAATGGTAATAAAGCATAAATATTTGATTAGAGGCTTACTATTAAATTCGAATGGAATCCATTTATTTTATTTATTTGGTATTAATAATTCGGGCATAATCGCGTTTTAATGTTTGCTATAATCATTCGCCTCTGCAGCATTCAATTCCTCATACAATTCATTTGATTGATGATGATTTCCGAACAGATTGCTATTGGCTGGGGCGATTGTTTGAACAGCGGCACGAATAGGCAAGGGATTGCGTAATAAATATTGCAATTGCATGAGGCATCTAAGGTCGGCAGTTTGGCGCAAAAGATGAGAAGAAATGATATATATAGTTAGCTGTTCAGTATTTTAGTGCGAAAATTCAACATACCGTTCCAATTTGCGATCGCCATCTTGTTGTAGACTATAAATTTCGGGAGCTTCGCTATCACGATGGGCGCGTTTGCCGCTGGTCCAACCGTGAGAGTATTGGAAGGTCTGACCGAAGCATGTGGCGACGAGGCAGAGGACAGCCAATGAAATGAATAGCTTGAACATTTTCAGTTTTTTTTTTTTGCTATAATTAAGAGAGATTTGAATAAAATGTCATCAACCTTAAATTTTAAATGAGATCTTTCAAACAATATTATCTCAAAGAACTTGACATAAATTATGTTAATTTTGGTAGGCAGCTTAGTAAATAAAATTAAATAATATTCTATTGACGTTTGAATTGTTGGGTCTTGTTAATATAAAAAAAGACTAATATCTGAGAGGTATTAAATCAATAACGATATCGATAAAAAATTTGATTCGATTCGGTTGAAGCATTTGGAAATGTTATCGTTAATGCAGTTATTAAAATTAACTTCTTTTTGTTTATACCCGAAACGAAAGGCTAACGTTAATGTTAAATAGTTAACAGATAATGTTAAATCGTTAACAGCTAGTGTTAAATCGTTAACAGCAAATGTTAAAGCTTAAAATTGAAGTGTACTATTAATATCAAAGAGGCAGAAATTTTGAAATTTCAACAATTTTTGCTTTTTCGATAACATGACGCCGAAACGAAAAAAAATAATTCGGAAAGTTTATTTTTTATATAAAAAAAACGAATTGGCATCGTACTACAAACTTTTCGCTTTTATTTCTATGACAAATCGATATGCGCGTCATCTACATGTGAAACGCTTCATTTTTGCCGATGTATTCTAAACTAAGTTGTCTGCACTAAGCCAGTGGCTCTCAAATGTTGGAAAAACCATTTGAGAGTAGCACAATAATATTTATTTCTTCAATAACCAGCTGAAGTCATATGTAAATTTAACATTTCACGAAATTCATTGAATATTTTGTGAAAATTTTCTGAAAATACTAATACACAAACACAAATTTGTTTATTTAATTTAATTTAAACTTACTTTGTTTTATTTATTGACTAGTGTGAATCTTAGTAGTACTCGATAGGAGCAGAGCGCTGATTGAACTGTGCTTCCTGTTCATGTGATTTCCGTTTTTATACCCAAACGCCTTGCTATCTGTGTGCAGCAAGAGCCAACACCTATTTATCACACATACACATACACACACACATACATGCTGAAAAAACAGCATAAATGCAAGGAAGGATAACAATCTTCTTTGCCTAAACAAAGATTAACAATGATTATTTTCAACTATGGCATACCATTGTTTCCCAAGAAAATTAACCCGAAAGTAGTATTTAAATGGGTTGCGCGCGAAAAGCCCACTCAAACGAATAAGTGCTAGGCATGCACAGAGGCTCTCACATACACATCTTGTTATAAATATAGCATACGCAGTCGTATGTGTAGCTGCAAATAGCACTGGTTTATGGGCGAAAGAGTAAATTGAATGAATTTGTTGATTAAAATTACCACTTACGGCTTTTATGGATTTGATGCGTAAAAGCAACAAGTGTTAAAGCTTGCTGCAGGCGCTTGTATGTATGTTAAGGGGTTAAACTGATTACAGTCATGCAAAACTATGTAAATGTGTGATGTTTGTATGCATAGGTGTTTTCGTTCTTTCGCTTATGCAGACTTCACTAAAGCTTTGCGCCTCCTTAGTAACACTTAAAGTAAAGTACACATTTTAGTAAAGAGATTTTAGGACTCATGACTGTAATGCGTAAGTGTGAGTAACTTGAATAAGTGAAAAAATGTCAGAGGAATTTTTAAAAGCGAATTTAAGGAGTTTATACAATTTTTTCAACTAATATTCTTCTTCTTTTTTATTGGCGTTGGTATCGACTACGCGAATATAGCCGAATCAATATTAGCGCGCCATTCATCAATTCTTTTCGTTGTTTGGCGCCAGTTGGAAATACCAAGTGAATCTAGGTACTTCTCCACCTGATTTTTCCAACGGAGAGGAGGTCTTCTCTTCCTCTGCTTCCACCAGCGAGCAGTACCCGAACACATCGAATACTTCCCAAGCTGGACTGTTTTCATCCATTCGGATAACATGACCTAGCCAGTGTAGCCGCTGCCCTTTCAGTCGCTAAACTATGTCAATATCATCGTACAGCTCGCACAACTCATCGTTACATCGCCGTTGCCAATGCGCAAAGGACCATAAATCCTTTGCAAAACTTTTTTCTCGAAGACTCCCATGGCCGCCTCATCGGATATCGATGTCGTGCAAGCTTCTGTTCTGTTAGTAAAACGGGAATGATGAATGCCTTGAAGAGTTTAGTTTTGGTTCGTCGAGAGAGGACTTTACTTTTCAATTGCCTACTCAGTCCAAAGTATCACTTGTTGGCAACGACTTCGAAGTTATGAATGTCAATAGTGGCTTGGGAGCCAAGCCGTAAACGCGCAGACTATTTATTTGATGGCCGTCAAACTGAGAGACAGCAGAACTAAATGCGAAGTTGCTATGGCCTCTGATAATAATGTCATTATGCTTCTCTCATTGAGAGCCTTGTCGTTGCGATAGTCGCTTTTCACAAGCTTCTCTTGAGAACAATTCTGAAACTAGCGTTATTTAAGTGAAACACAATTCCCTTCCCGTTGGCAAAATCTGGGCGAACTAAGAGTTTTAGCGCAAGGCAGCAGATCAGAGTGAATGATTCCTTACCAATTTCACCAAACATACAACAAATCATTCCTGGCCGTCAATGCTGGTTTGGAGACCGTGTGTGACGGGCAACTACCATTCGAGCCTAACAGTTCTAATTTGACTATGCTATTAGTCATCCACTTTTTATCACCAATCACCATCAACTTCAGAAATAGGGCGGTTTTGTTTGATGATGGAAATTCGGTCCATTAGCTTTTCCGCGTTGACTCATGTAGCACTCATACATCGTGCTTCTTTCTGTATCTAGTCTTTTTCAAGTAATTAAAACTGTTTCTTTTTTTTTACATTTTCGACAAATTTGCATTAAATTGACTGATACAGTATCAGAACCATAAGAGGTATTGGCATTTTCACTTAGTTAATGCCTTGAAGACGACCCGAGGCAGGGCAGAGGTTGGAAAAATTGTCCTCGACGATGCTCGACTAAGGAAGAAACAACTCGCAGAAATAGTTGGAGTATGTGGTGCAGAAGTTTTCCATATCCTACACCATCTTCTTAGCATGACTAACATCAGAGTGGGATAGGTATCAAGGATACTCAGACCTTCGCAAAACCAATAGCACGCAGAATGAGCACGTGAGTTTTGCTTCCTGTAATGACGCCAACTAGAGGCGAAATCTGAGTTCTGAAACCTAATTTGATACCACCACCCGTGCAGTGACAAAAAAGCAAAAAGTTGAAGCAATCACAGTCAGCTGGTAAACTCATAACAACGGTGTGATGGGACTACAAAAGTAAACATTGGCCAGGCTCACTATGCGAAACGTTCCTTTGATTTTAAATTCTATCCGTGTCCACCTGACGGCATCAAGCTGCGACTTCTCAATCTGCTGAAGGCACTCATTAACCTCTGAGCACCACTCGCCGATTCCACTTAACCGCCTTTTCATTACCTTCTACATCATTATGACCTGAGACCTGGTTGCCACTTTGTATATTGTAGCGCATTTGGAATTTATGTTGGCGCACTTAATTCTATTAATAGCCACTTTACTGTTTACTATATACCTAATAGATTTTCCCTCTAAAGCGGCCTTGGCTCATTCAGGAATACAGAGTTTGTGGTCATTGAGTTTGATGGTTCCATGGTTATTGGCGTGTGTTCCTCCTGGGCCTTCATTGTTAAGCATTCCGTGAAAAATAATTTGGTTTTTTAAAACCACCTTTTATCCCTCCGTTCTGCGAACATAAAAACGCTCCCTCGTAACGTCGTCTGCTCAATGCAAGTAATTTCATTAATCCAGTTTTTAATGTTAATGATTAATTTAAGGATTTAATTAAAATTTTAAAGTTTAAGGAAAAAAAGTATTGTATAATTTACTTGATTTTATTAACAAATATTAAAAATAATAAATTTAATTTATTTCCTTTTTAATTTGAATATAAAAATTTATTTAATTATTATTTGTTTATTTATTATTTATTTATTTATTATTTATTTATTTATTATTTATTTATTTAATTATTTAATTAATAATTTTGGTGTCTAAAAAAATTTTTACAGAAAATCCTCTTTTTGAAAAAAAATTTTGCTTATTTTATATTTTATATACATATTATATATACAATACAAATATCATAGACTAGTTATTTCGCAATCTGGGGTCGCGGGACTAGCATTCCCATTGCCAGTTTCAGCAGAAGTTTCTTTGCTTTTGTTTTTGTTGCGCCGTAAAATTATATAACACAGGCTGCAAAAAAAAAAAAAAAAACAATTTTAAATTATAATTAAAACGAAAAAAAAAATTGTAAAAAAAAATTAGTTAAAGAAAACTTACACAAACACAAGCACGTTAGGTACATAAAAGATCTCGCCAAAGAGGAAAATCGCACCCGGAAAACTTTCCACAGTGTCCTGATAGATAGCACTAAAGATGGGCGGGAATATAAACTGACCGATTGGCTCACTAATTCCAAATATTGAGTACATTTTACCTTTAAAAATTCAAGCTATTTAACAAAAATAAAAAATATATTTGATTTCATTACGTACTCAACTCCTCCCCTTCAACAATACTAGAGCCGATCGTTTTAATGGCAATCACACGTAGACTCACAAACATATCAACAACACCAGCGACGTAAAAGGACTTTGTGTCCTTAGCAAAGGCCTGAAATATAGATTGAAAAGTGTATTTTAATTTTATATAAAATAACTTACATACATAACCGAATTTAAAACAATAAACTTACGAACAAAATACGCGAAATAACAATCGCCACCGCCGATAAAATACCAATGGTAGAATCCGCGAATTTCAGCAGCTTGCTAAGTATTGCTGTACCAATGAAAGTACCTGGAGACAAAGTATTGTGTTTTAAAATATTTTTTATATTTTTGCTCGAGGTATTGCTCCTTGAGTTCAATGAAAAAAAAAAAATCCAAAAAATATAGCAATTGAAAATATGTGTTTTAGCTCACCAACTAATGCAGCAGCAGATGAGAATGTGAAGAAGAAACTAAAATCATTGCCATTCCAATTGAGTTTGATTAACGTGTAACGATACCAGTAGTCATTTTCGCCTACAAAAAAAAAAACAGTTTTAAATACCTGAAAATATTTGACTGTAATATAAATGAAGCTCACCTGAGACTGGACCCAGTGTTAAAAAATATGCAAAGATCAGTAAGATCAGCAGCATTCTACCATGATTGGGTCGTTTGTTTAGTGGAAATTTAATACAGTCTATCACCAGAGTTGGATCGAAAAATTCCCGCAAAAATGAACGTCTCGGTGGCTCCACAGTTTCGGCTTTCGACAAATGATGTGCTGCCTTGTCCGACGATTGTAATCGTGAATTCAATTCAAAACTAACATTCTTCACACGATCCACTTCATCAACACCCACCGCTGGTTCATAAGCCAAATTATCAGCGCCAACATTTAATGCGGGTGGGCCATGTGCGGGTAAGGGTGGAGGGAGGTCTTCATCAACTTTTACATCCGATTTCGGTGCAGGTTTTACCTCTTGAATAAAGAATGTTATATATAAGATGGCAATGATTTGGAATGAGGCCGCCATGCCAAAGGAAACTGAAATAAAAAGTGTATACAAATGAAAAATAATTATATATGTACATACAAATATGTGTATATATACAGCGCCGACTTACATATATAACCCAATTGTTGAAACAGAAAGCCACTTATGGGTTGGCCAATAAAAGGTACTGCAGTGATGAACATTGCGAATATGCCAAACCTAAAAAAATGTACAGAATAAAAATTAAAATAATACAAAATGAATTAAACATAAAATAAAAATAAATTAAAAAATAAAACAAAATGATTATAGAGTAAATAAAAGAAAATAAAATTTAATGAATTTAAAAAATTCATAAGAAAGTTAAAAGATTAATTATATAAAATAAAAAAATGTAAAATAAAACAAAATCAAATAAATAAAAAAATTAATAAAATAAAATTAAATTAAAAATAGTGTAATAAATAAAAATCATATAATTAAAATAAAATCATAAATAATTAAAAAAATGGAATGAAGTTAAACTAAATAAAAAACAGAAAAAAATAAAGTAAAATAAAAACAATATAATAAGGAAACATTAAACAAAATTAAATTAGAAAATAAATAATAAAATAAAATATTTGAACTGATCGCTTAACAAAATTATTAAAGTAAAATAAAAAGTTTAATTAATTATATAAAAAATAAAGAACTAACATTAAAAAAATCCAATAGAAAAATAACTTATTTAAAATAATTTAATAATACAAAATAAAGTTGAAAAATTTTAAGTATTACAAAGTGAAGTTAAATAAAATAAGCTATAGCGATAACTATATATATAATATAATAAAAATAAAATGAATAATATTGAATAAAAAATAAATAAAATAAATGAAAGTAAAATATAAAATTAAAAAGCGAAATGAATACAAAAATATCACTTTAAATATGTTTAAATTAGGTTTAAAAATATTAATTGAAATAAATAAAATATATAATAATAAAGTAAAAGTAAGACATAAATAAAATAAAATGAAATTAAACAAAATAAAAGACAAACAAAATAAAGAATATAATAAAGAAGCCTTAAACAAAATTAATTTAAGAAACAAATCATAAAATAAAAGGTTTAATTAATTATATAAAAAGTAAAGAAATATCATTAAAAATTCAATAGAAAAATAAATGAAGTAAAATTATTTAACTATACAAAATAAAGTTGAAAAATGTTGAGTATTATAAAGTTAAGTAAACCAAAATAAAATTCTGTGAAATTAAACAAAATGAAATGAAATAAAGTATATGTATGTAATAAAAAAATTAATAATATAGAATAAAAAAAATAAAATAGATTAAAGTACAATAAAAAATAAAAGATAAAAAAGAAAATAAATAAAATTAAATTAAATTAAATAAATTTAAATTGAATTGATAAATCTTAATTAAAATAAAATAAATAATGTAAAAGTAAGCAATAAATAAAATATAATAAAATAAAGAAAAAAATATAAAATGAAGTTAAATAAAATTGTTTAAATTAAAAAAAAATTAAATTAAATAAAGTAAAACATAGTAAAGAAAATAATAATAAGAGGATAAAGAACTGATATGGCGAATCTTCTTTGTAAAATATGGTTGGTGCTAATACGAGCTACAGAGCTGAATAGAGAAGGTACAATTTTCTATGAGACTGTACAGAGTGTCCGCTCTAGGCGGTCTGTAAGCACCTAATGGAGTTCCAATAACTCAAAAACTGAGAAACTAGCTTGCTAACAAACAGATGGGCAGACGGGGATGGATGAACCAACTCGTCATTCTGACACGTTCTGTATAAATTCTAATTGATCTTTCTCTTCTTTCTCTGAAACTTATATACTTCGGAGCAAAGTTAATAAATGTACATGGAAGATATAAAATGGTATCTAAAATAAAATAAAATAATTAAATTATAATGAAGTTAAACAAAATTAAATTAAATTAATAAAAAATTAGTAAAAATTATTTTAATAAATTTATATAAAATAGAATAAAATAAAAAATAAGAAGATAAAAAATAAATAAAGTAAAAGAAATTAATTTAATTAAAAAAGTTGTATAAAATAAAGTTAATTAAAACTTTATCAATTTATAAAAAGCACAATAAAATAACCAAAATTAAACAAAATTGAGGGAAATTAAATAAAATAAAGTAAAACTTATAATATAATATATAATAAACTTAAATGACGCTACATAAAATAAATGGCGGCGAAGTTAAACTAAAGTAAAGTTAAATTAAATCAAATTTAATTTAATTCGAATTAAATAATAAAATAATTTAAAATAATTTAATAAAAAAATAAAATTTATTAAAAAAGAAACACCTGAATACACGATCTTCTTCCGGTGTCGCTATAGTTATATAACTATAAACAGCCATCAAACAAAAAGTGAGTCCACCAAATAATGCCGGCACAATCGCCTCACAGTATGCACCGAATTCCATTGGTAACGAATCGAAAAAGATTGCCGAAATAAGCAAACCTTGAGGAAGTTAATGGAATTAATTATTTTTTGATTATTTCAATAATTTACTGTAAGATATCTTTGTACATTGAAAACTTACACGAAAAGGAAAGGAATTCACCGACAATAGGCATAATCATACATGGCTTCCGTTTGTTGTAACGATCAGACCAGCCACCGGCAAAAAGTAGCACAATCAAAGGGAAAATAGCAGCTAAAAGAAATTTAAGAATTACTTGTCAAGAAATTACAACTTCATAAGTGGCATCAACGGGTATAACAGGCTATTCAGAATAACACCTCTTATTGGCAAACCCTTTAATATATTACTCTCAGATTTATTACTCAATAATTTCATTGAAAATATTAAGAGCTTCTACTAACTAAATAATATTAGTTTTACATAATAATTATTTATAAAAAAAAAATTTTGTAACATACATATGTATGTATGTATCTTACGATTATTATAAAACAATGAATTTGCAATATTTACTCACAAAATTATTGTGTGAAAATACCATTGGCATTAAAAAGCTACTCAGAATAGGAATTTTACTTTCCACGATCATTATCTACAAATTAAACACATAGTACAAATTTAATAATGCAAATAGTTTTGTATGCATGTAGATATGCCACGCAAATCACACCCGAGCTTGACGATTACCAATGTCAATAGCATTTTTGATCCATCACTAATAAATCCAGTTCAGTAAAGCGATTATTTTATAGCACCTCTAAATCAATTAAACAAGAAACTAGTGTAATAAACGTTTGTTTTGCGATCTTCCTCAAACAGATATGCATACATGCATACATGCATACATACATATATTCGTACAGCGTTTGACTAATTGGCATATTAAGTTTGTTTACATACGCACACACACAAGCATACAAATGTAAAATGTAAAGAAAGCCGTATTAGAACAAAAAATTGATTAATCTGTGTGTATGATTACAAAAACAAAATTTAATCGAAGTGAATAAAAAAAGACGAAAAAAAAATGTATTTGATGCTCAAATTGTGTAGAAATGTGTTTGAGGAACCAGTTTTGAAGTATGTTTTGAAAAACTCAAGTGCTGAAGATGAATTGGCAACTATTTTCATGCATGAAAAAGGCAAAATTGTTGATTACTATTTTGAAAAGATACCAAATGTTAACACAAACATAGCAATTAAAGCCTTTAATGGAGATTTAGTAAGTGGATTTTTTTCTTTTTATCGAAGATCAACAACTGATTTTGCATGACTAAAAATTTCTAATTCTATTTTGGTGTTATTTACAAGTGTCCGTAAGTTTTGTTAATTGAAAAATGGTAATGATTGCTCTTGGGAGTTAGTCAATAATTATATGCTTATTCCAAAACAAATAACAACAGAACTCAATACTGCCTAGGGGATACGATTGAGAAGAACGCTGCTTTAATTGTTTTTTGTTTTTTGTTTTTTTTTTTCGCACACATCTTTTCGTTGTGATTAAATAGCAAACGAACTGGTAATACCAGCAATTAGTATATTGGAATTTATTCTTGCTGAAATTCAAACAGCAGAGTAAAGATTTTTAATTTTTTGATAAACACGAAATGCAAATTCCTCCAACAGGTTATAAATATTAATTTTTTTCTTTGTTTCCTATAATCACATATATTTTAACGAATTCTATAATACAAAAATCTGCTAATAAATTTGCACCTAAAGCTGACATCATTTACACATTCAGAAAACAATTGGTTGAAGAAACACTGCAGGATCTCAAACATAATTCAAATACTTATTCAACACATACACACCAATGGGTGCTCGTTTGCCGGATACATCGGCCGCCAATTTTTGCGCCTCCACTTCCGCCTTGCAGACGGTGTAGTTAAAACCCATAGAGCCGATAGTGAGTGCGCCATCTGCTGATGTTGCACCCAACGTCGTGTTTTCGAAATTGAATCCCTCACACTCTATGCCCAGCTCCGATTTGTCCAATGTGGTGTCGCAAACAATTTTATTATAACCTAAATTGACGCGACATGCCTAAAAGATTGAGATGATTGAACATTTTTTTCTACCCTTCATCGCATATTTTTTCCACTGCGTAGTTTTTACCTTGTCAAGTGGGAAATTTTGCATTGCAACAGCGTTAAAAACACTAGCCATTAAATAGAAGAAGAAGAATGGTTCAATGACTAAATACTTTCTATACATCCATAATTTTTTTAAATAGACAAGCGCTCCTTTCGACTCCGTCTCCGCTTCCGGTGCAGCATTAGCGGAAATGCCATTTTGTTGTGACATTTTGCACTTCGTTCGCGCACACTAGGCTATTTTCACATAAAATTCTTTGAAAATTTTAATAACTGCTTTTTATTATTTTCACTAAAACGTAGCGCATTTCTAATTCCACGGTGAAGTATTATGTAATAAGTGTATTCATTAATCGAATTGCAGTTGTTAATGACTAGATTTAAGTTTACGCGTTGATGCTGATTGAATAAGCTCTTCGATTTAATGTCTAACGACGTGCGCGCCCGCTTCAAAACTAAACAGACTAGAACGATTTGTATTTCACAAACCTTTTGAATATTTGCATTTATGATTATCTCGTTGGTTTACCTCAAAAACTTGTCCAGCACGTGCTGAGTGAATCTTCTCATAAGTGAAAAATGCTCATCTTCGCTTTATGGGCAAACTTTTTATTGCTCTTACTTTCATTATTAATTTTTAATTCGAGGTTGAAGAAAATAGCATACTATAAACAAACTAATTTTGTATATATGTACATACTGATTTTCCTTAATTCAGTTATTCTCATGACATTTTTCCCTCTCTTAACTCCACCGGTTCGACAATTGCTAAGAATTTGCGTTAAGCACTGTACCATCTTTGATTTCATAAAGTTCTTTGAACCTTACATATGTACATGTATGTATGCATACGCCTTGCCCTACCCGTGACACCAAAATTGGATCGAAGTCTACTCGCAAACAGCCAACAAGCCAGCAACAACCATTAAGAAACTCCCACACATTCCCATGAACATTACAAACAACAAATTCAAAAATCATTTAAGCGATGATCGTGCTATCCAACAACATTGTTAATGATCAACAAAAAAAGGACTACTGCACCAATTGCTTCCTCTGTTGCATATACTCAAGATGGGCCGGAACATTATAGATTTCCAGCTACGAGAATCCACGGTAAGGCATTTCTGTCGTAAGAGGCGACTAAAATACAAAAGTTCCCGCAATGGTTAAGTCTTTATACCGGAGCGAGCTGGATTTTTATCCCGCCTTACCGTGATAAGGGTAAATTCTTGAGCCCCTAATCCGTAAAAATATATAACAAAACCTGCCTCAAATGGCTTTCATGCGACTACCATTTAGCATTTAAAACACATTATCTACATTTTGAACCCATTAAATAATAACGGTTCTACTAATTTGGATTTTACACATTTTTTATGCATTTAACTGAAATTTTCAGGAATGAAGTAATTTCGAAGAATAACAAAATGTATGGTTTGCTGAGCTAAAATTAAACAGTTGCATATTAAATTAAAAAGATTATTGATTTAAGCTAGCGGACTTCCAAAAACAAAATATACAAAAAGAATTTTAAATCTTTCGGACAACGAGCAACACTGAAATGCTTGCAGTGGCAACGCTTCGCTTACAAATGTCATTGAATAGTGCCAGATGTGCTTTTGTTTTTGCTATTCGAGAAGTGAATATCGATTTATGCAATATAGCGATAACCAAAATATTAAAATTATTTAATTTACGAACTAAACATTATAAGAAACACTTATTTTATATATTGCGATTTGTACTAATTAAAATTAATTGACAGAGAATTCCAACCCCACAGAGTGTATTTCCAGCATTAAACTGTTATTATTTTATCCCGTGGAACTAGCAAATTGTACACCACTGCTTTAATACTAATGTTTAAAATTAAAAACAAGCAATTCAGAATCTCCCAGTTTGGCCCAGTTTGACTTTAAAGACATTACCAATTGCATGAGATAACATTTTCTTCAATCACAATATCGATAACACAAACGATAGATGATACACTGCACTGCGTTCGAACACATCGCTCTTTAATCCAATTTGACATTTTGTACTTGTAAATTTGTTCCGGTTGTTTATTTCTTTAACTTTGCATAAATCCTTTATTTGTTTGTGTTATTAGTGAGTAAGCATAGAAACAAAAAAACAGCTTGTAAAAGAACATAATCTTATAGAGCGCATGGAAATAACACTAAATAGCTTTATACTATCGCAACAGCTAATTTAATATTTGCATGGCGAAAACTGAAAAATTCATTTTCAATATGATTATTCCGATTTTCGGTAGCTATTTATGGACTGCATTGCAGATTGAATGAACTACTTAGTTTTGCTCTGCAATCGTAAACCGACAATGTTGTCGAGACGCAGCAAAGAAAAGGCCAACGCTCATAAGGAAGGTGTGGTTGGTAAGTATGTAAAAAAGGAGACACCACCCGAAATCCCGGTGATAAATGTATGGACTTTCGATGAGCAGCGTTCAAAACATAATAAGAAATCACTACAGCGTTGTGCAAGTACATCACCCAGCTGTGAGTTTACTGGACGAAGCTCTGGTAATTCCAGTCGGAATACATACTCGTGCGGTAACGACTCACAGTTTAATTCCCAACCGGATTACTATCATGCCAGGCGGGCACAATCTCAATTACCACCTACAACAACGACTATGCGGTCAGTGTCACAGACCCATCAGCAACAACGTTATGGTGCAACCGGTTTTTATCCACCACCAAATTCAGTAGCCTCAACCACACAGCATCCACACTTTTATTCAAGCAATAATTTGGACGTAGCAAGCAATGGACATAGTCACAGTGTTGCCACTAAAACTAATAGCAATAGTAGCAACAGTAACTACGTAAACATTGAACAGATCGATCGAATGCGACGGCAGCAATCCTCACCTCTATTGCAGCCACCGAATACAGCATACGAGAACTTTCATCGGAGGCATTCTGCAAACCAAAAGCATAGCAACTCTTATGACGGACGTATACGCGGCTTTGCAAGCACCGACACAAATGCAACGTCGATTGTTGATGGTATAGATTCCTATAACAATATTCTACAGATACCACGCGGTACTACGCCAACACCACAACAACTTTATCCGAACAATGCCAGTTATAGTACCGGCACCGATTCATATCCGATCTACGAAAATCCTTTCAGAGTGTCTTCAAATACTTCGGGTAGTGTACTTAACAACAGTAGCCATACTACAATGAATAATTTTGATAGTCGCTCCACTCCATCAACGGCAGACGTGCGTTCTGAGTCACCCATTTACAGTAATACCACTTTGGCTGTATCTAACAACAACTTGCATTCTTCATATGATCTAACAGCCGGTACAGCAGTTGCAAATTCAGTTCAGTCACTGTACCATACGCCGTCAAGGCAACTACACTCTCAATCAGTCGCTAAAACAAACAGTACAACAAATGTTTTGCAAAAGGTGCCATCACAACAATCTATAGAGGAAGAGCTACCACTGCCACCCGGCTGGGCGATGCAATACACTCTTCATGGGCGCAAGTATTATATAGACCATCACACGCATACAACACATTGGTCTCATCCCTTGGAGCGGGAAGGGTTACCGGTAGGCTGGCGACGTGTTGTTTCGAAAATTCACGGTACCTACTACGAAAACCAATACACAGGGCAATGCCAACGGCAGCATCCCTGTCTTACCTCATATTATGTATATACAACATCTGCCGAACCACCGAAGGCCATATGCCCCGAAATGCCAGTTCCTTATACACCACCAGTGCACACACATAACGCTCTAGTGCCGGCCAATCCGTATTTGTTGGAGGAGATACCAAAATGGCTGGTGGTCTATTCGAATGCTGATTCATCGAAAGACCATATGCTACAATTTAATATGTTTAGTTTGCAAGATTTGGAGTGCTTCGATGGTATGTTGGTGCGCCTGTTTAAGCAAGAACTTGGCACTATTGTTGGATTCTACGAACGTTATAGGTAAGTAACACGAATGTGGTAAATTGCAGCGTATTTATGTGTTTTATTTTTGTTATATTTCAATAATTTTAATTTTCTATTGTTTTTTCGGTTTATTAGACGTGCTTTGATTTTGGAAAAAAATCGGCGTGCCGAGCAGGAGCGCTATTTGCAAGAGTTACATGCGCAAGGCACACACCAATAGCACTTGAAAAGATGCAGCTTTTAAATTATTTATTATATTTACCATCTGAATGGTGGTAGTGTATAATAAAGTACATACATACACATATTCAATTCTATTTTTCTATTCGACAGCTATAGGAATAAAAAATGATCTTATAATGCTAGGCATAACTAGACTGTTTTGTTCTGTAGAACTGCTTACTGTTTTCGTAATATCAAATATTTGTTAAATTTAAGTGAAATTCTTGTGTTACTGATTTTAATTAATATATAAAAATATTATTTATTTTTTACCAATGATTATGTTCTATAAAACGTTTTTTGTGATTTGTTCTTCTATCATTTTTGTTTAAGTATACTCACATGTTTTCTTTTTAACTTGTATGACTTGCAAATAAATAAATATACTTACTATACCATATTCAGATATTTCGAAAATATGTGTTTTATTTTTTTTTTGTACTTAGGAGTATGTATGTTTATACAATATCTATACCCTGAAGAAGCTTCAACTGATATGGTGAAGTGCCGTGTAAAAACAATTGTATATTTTCTAAAGCTGATAATTATAAGTACAATTGTTGTTGTTGTAACCGCAAAGTTATTCCCCAAAGAACTTTTTGGGGAATGGTGCGGGAGTGACAGTCCTCGGCCGGATAAAAATCTGGGTCGTTCCGGTACAAAGACCCGACTGACGCGGAAACTATTGGATTTTAGTCGCCTCTTCCGACAGACATGCCTTACCGCGGGTAAGTTCTTGAGCCCCTAAAAGGTCCGCGTTAGCTTGATGGCAAGTCAATGCCAATGAGACATTATTTCTAATAAAATTTGTCTTAAGACGAAATTCTCTTTGGCCTTAAGAAGCTACAGATTAACGACGAAGTCTAACCCCGATCAGCCGACTTCGAAAAAAGCGTATGACATATATGTACATAGCAGATTCTGTTTACAAACTAAATTATACAAACCTCTTACGGCAAAGGGAAACCTGCAGAAGCTATAAATTCTACTTAAGCTTCTGCTTATCCAGGAAACTATAAATTCTGCTTAACCTTCTGCTTATCCAGGTAAACCAGACGTACTACATCATACCCGAACGATTCTCATATAATTGGCGCTTTGTAACCGCTTAAGCGATTTTCATGGGGGGTCCTCCTCCAATTTGTGGTATGCTTCTTGATGTTTTTCCAACAAATGTATGGATCTACAGTTTATACTAAATCGCCTCCGAACGGCTGATGGTTTTTTTTTTATGATGAGCCTTTATTGCATTGCACAGGGCTTAGAAAAATTAACTTGATTTTTAATCTAACCTAACGAACGCACTCTTCTTTCGGTCTTGAACTCGCCAACCGTTATTTGACCTCGATTATACCATTAATAATTTCTTACTCACAAATGGAATCAATGAGACGCTACGCCAACTACTACAATATTTTCCAGTAGTACCAAAACCAATAAAAAAAAGTACCGTAGTAGTTCTAAGAGCCGCTGTCACCGATCCGCTATCCTGTAGATTATGGTGGCCCAGGCCACTAAACGTGATTGCTTCGAACAGTATATCTATCAAATATATACACTCGTCCTACGAAGGCGTGCCAAAACTCAAATATCCTCATCACATCTTGGAAATAACTGGACAAAATGGTATATATATGTATTGCTTACTGAGGGCGTAATTCTCACAGATTTATCCTGAAAAACCTTATCATATGCCTTAAGACTTACACCAACAGCGTCAACATCCAAATGAAATATATAACGGTGTAAAGAAATCATAGGAATATAAGCCCAGTCAAAGGCTTTGAGGTGGCCAGACTGCAAGCCAACTCCCCCGGGAATGATAGCGATAAACCCAACATAAATCCTTCATCCAATGGGTTCTCCCTTGATCCTAATCACTACCTTGTATATTTTATTTTTACTACCATTCAAATATTCTCTATCCTGTGGAAATGTTGGAAGTTTACTTACTTAGTTACTTTACTGGCGCAGACACCGCTTACACGATTTTGGTCGATTTAACCACATTGCGCCTTTCGATTATTCTTTTTGCTGCTTGGCGCCAATTGGAAATACCAAGTACAGCCAGGTCCTTCTTTATCTGGTCTTTCCAATGAAGAGGAGGTCTTCCTCTTCCTCTGCTTCCACCGGCGAGTACTTCATCGAAAACTTTCAAAGCTGAAGTATTTGCATCCATCCAGACCACATGACCTAGCCAGCGTAGCCGCTGCCGTATTACTCGCACAGCTCATAGTCTGCGATATTCGCTGTGCCAATGCGCAAAGGACCATAAATCTTACGAAAAACCTTTCTCTCGAAAACTACTAGCGCCGACTCATCAGATGTTGTCATCGTCCATGCCTCCGCACCATATAGCAGGACGGGAAGGATGAGGGACTTGTAGAGTTTGGTTTTTGTTCGTCGGGAGAGGACTTTACTTTTCAATTGCCTACTCAGTCCGATGTAGCACCTGTTGGCAAGAGTGAAACATGAAAATTCCAAAAAAATTTAGTACCTTTCATCCGTAATCAACTGTACGTAACAATGTGTTTTTTTTTTCAAATTCGTTTATATACATATGTACATATACATACATATTTCCGCCGTTATAATATTGTACTAATCAGTAGCAGATTTGCCTTTGATGCACCTGATAATCAACGCTTATCAGCTCGACAATCCGCTATAAATATAGCTGCGTTGTGACACCGCATGCATTGAGCAACTCTGAGCAGAGTTTACTGAATTGGCTGACTTTAGTGAATTTTAATGCTCACGAGATTGTATTGTACTTCAGTGTTTCGATTTTGAAAATCAGTCTTCTCTTATTACAAACTGAATACGCGATCATTATTAGTCGCGGTATAAACGTCGAAGAGATCGGACTCAAATTCACTACTACATACATATATGAATATATACAGAGGCTCATATGAAAACAGAAAAAAAAAATAATTATAATATCAGTGGCGCGCTAAACTTGAGATACGTTAAATAAATATTTGTTAATGTTGCACATTTTGACCATATTTTTATTTAATTCAAAGTGTCGAAGGCTGAGAATTTTCTTGAGTGTACAAAACATAAAAATCAATAATTAAATAAAAGAAACAAGAAAATTCCATTTATAACATTTATTAATTTCGGCTTAACTCTACTGCAGCAAACACATTCGCAAGCTGTTTTTTTTCTTTAAATCTTTGGTATGTTTGTTTTTATTTATTTCAGCAGCGTTTAGCTATTGCTTTGTTTTTTTTTTTTTTTTTGTGTATTCAAAACACAAGTTTGTTGTGATATTTATGACGACCATTTAACACCGAGTCAGCACAGGAAAAGAAATTCCGATAAGTCGACAAGTGTTTTTTGATGTTGTTGTGTGTTTTTGTTTTATTGTAATATTTTTTATTTCGCCAAATCTTTATTGCTTTTACGTGCTTGGCCGTGTGCCATCATTTGATTGCCGTATTGCTTATTAAAATAGTTAATTATTGAGTGTGAGCATAGTACAACAGAAATAAATTAATTTTTTTTGCATTAATTTATTAATAGAAAGTGATGTTTTTTATATATATTGCAGTTTTACTGACATATATTTATTTGAATACAAAGTTATATGCATATACTTAAGTATTTACTTTAATAACTTGTATACCAGTATGTGCAAATTAATTTCAAGTTAGCGGTTCATTCACATTTTGCCGGTGATAAGAGTGTGAATAACTGTTCTAATTAAGGGATCTATTATATACATACATATATAATTGGCGCTTTGAAATCACTGAAGGGATTTTTGGCCGCGCTTCTCCTCCAATTTGTGTTTGCGAGTCTTGATGTTTTTCCAACAAATGGAGGGCTGATGGTTTTTTTAAGAAAATTTAACTTAATTTTTTATTTAAATTATATTTCATTGTAATGTTAGTAGGACACCAGGATTTGAACCCCGTGTCTTCCAAATGTCAATACGCAATGCTAACCACTCGGCTACCGCGGCCGCTAAGGGATCATTTAATGATCATAATACATGATCGTAAAATATTTAAAAAATTAATTAAGTAATCGAGCTTTGAAAAATCATGCTTGTCGAATAAGACTCTGTAAGATGATTCCAATTCAAATAACCCTCCAATCGCTAGATGGATGGCATTTTGAATAGAAATTTGGTTGTGTATTTCATTAATAATTTTTTCTTTTTTTTAATTACATTTTTATCACACGAGTTTCTCAAATATCAAATTCACATTTTAACTGTGCTCGACGTCAAGTGGAAGTGGAAATTTCCAAGTCTAAATTCTTGTATTTTTCTTTATTTTTAATATCCGGTGTTGTTGAAAATTTCTTCTAAAAAAAATTATTATACGAAATCTACTTCTGCTTAAAAGAATCGCATAAAAGGTAAAAAATCGTTTCCTTTCGCTACTCATCAGCAGTTCTTGACACATCGTCTGAGCGGTATCCTGAAAACTTCTGAAAGCTTTTTTTATGTAAAGGTCGGTCAGGATCTCAAGAGCCATAAAAACAACAGTTAACTTGTAAAAAAAATCCATTATGTTCAACATCACTCTCCTATTAAGGGAATTCTGGACTGACAGTTCTTCAATATAGTGTATATAAATTCGATATGTAAGATGATTTTCTTCAGAACGTTTTGCATGCAGTGTAATCCAACGGATATAAAACAGAAATAATTTCCAATCGCAGTTGTAGAACTTTTGGCAAAAATCCCCTAATTTTATAACGTTGAGAATATTTATACTGAAATATTTATGTACATATGATATATTGAATAAGTACGCTGTTGTTGTTGTTGTAACAGCAAAATATTCCTAGTATTGATATTCCGAAATCCGGGTTGTACCGGTATAAAAAAACGCCGACTGTCGCGGGATCCATTGGATTTTAGTGAGCCACTAACACGCAGGGACATGATATATAAGTATTTATGTATACATGTATCTGTATACGCTTCTCATACTTATTCATAGATTTTTTTTAAAATGTACTTATTTATTTTTCACAATTTGTTCAAATATTTTGTTGATCCTTTTTTTGCAAAAAAAAAAACAGAAAAATGTCAGTGACTTAAGACATTTGCAAATATATTACGAAAATATAAAAATCAATAAAGACCAAAAGAGATATACATTCATATATATATTTTGCGATTATTTTTTTTTTATACTGTCTATAATTAAAATATTTGTAAAATTCTTTAATCGATTGCAAAGTTAATCAACTTGTATTGCAAGTTCTAATCAATGACAAACATACAACACTTTTACCTGAGATATAAATATGTATGTATGTTACTTGGTGTATGTGTAAACGTATTTTATGAATTGAATTGAAAGTAATCAAGGTAACAGTACAAGTGTTATAAATAGTATCTACATACAAAATTATTATTTCATAAGTGTTTGCTATTAACTGATAAAAGTTAATGCAATAAAGTCAATAGAGGGCATTCTTGTGTTGTTGTCTAATTGGGAGCAATTAAGTGGGACAATGTGAATTGTGGCAATCATTCATAGGCGTGTGGGCTTATTGTATATATGTAGTACCTTTGGTTTCATTCAAATTTAACAAAATAAAAATAGAAACGGATTTAAGTGAATCAACTCTCTGAAAGTTATGCCTTAAAGCAAAGATTCTTTGATCTTCTATAGATAACAGACTTAAATATTTAGTAAAATGTCGCAATGCACCACAAAAATATTCCAAATCTTTTACAATATACATAAATGTAGTACATACCTACATATGCACATTGTTATTTTGTTAACGTACTTTTGAAAAATATATTGCAACCTTTTTACTTTGATTATTTAATCTAAAAATTTCTAATTTTTTCAAAGTATTAAGTGATTGCAGGAAATTCCTGTCTATTTTTTTTGTTAATTTATTCTATTTTTTAATTTTTTATTTAGTTCTTTTTATTACATTTTATTTTTTTTATTTTCTTAACTTAATTATCTTTTGCTTTATATAATTTTTTATATGATAATTTTACTTTATTTTCTTTTTTTGATTTTAATGTTTTTAAATTATTATATTTTTATTTTATATTATTGTATTATTTTTTATTTCACTTTAATATTTTGATTTAAGTTATTAAATATAATTTTTTGTGTTATTTTTTATTTTTCTTTTATTTTATATTAGTTTATTTTATTGTTTTCATATTATTTTTACTTATTTTGTTTGATTTTACTTTATTTTAATTTCTTTTATTTTACTAATTTTTTTTTTTAATTTCATTTTACAATTTTTTATATACGTTTTTTATAATTATTCGATTTCATTAATTGTTTATTTTATTTGATTTCATAACAATTTATTTTGTTGAATTTTATTTTATTTTATTATATTATTTTCATTTTAGTTTTTATATTTTTTTAATTTATTTCATTTATATTTTAATTTTATTTTAATGTTTTTAAATTATTATATCTTTATTTTATATTATTAAATTTTATTTCACTTTAATTTTTTCATTTTGATTTATGTTATTTAATATAATTTTATGTTTTTCGTGTCAGTTTTTTAATTTTTTCATTAGTAGTTTACTTATTGTACTTTATTTTTCTTATTTTATTTTATTTTACTTCATTTTACTTAATTTTTTCCATTTAATTTTATTTTCTATTCATTTAATTTTATTTATTTTCTATTCATTTTATTTTATTTATTTTCATTTCATTTTATTTTATTTTTTTTATTTTATTATTATTTTATGTTATTAATTGTTTATTATGTTTAATTAAATTTATAAAAATTTAATGAATTTTACCTTATTTTAATTTATTGAATCTTTATATTATTTTATTTCATTTCATTTCATATTATTCATTTTATTTTAATTTATTAATTTTGGATTTTATTCGATTTTGTGTCAACTTACTAAATTTAATTTTTATAAAATTTTATTTTATTTTATTTTATATTAAATTATTTTATTTATATTTTGTATTATTTAATTTATTCTTTCTTTCAAGTTATTTTTTCTTGAACTGCGCATACGAAAGATCTATTCGAATGTGAATTTCACAATTGATGCTTCAACATGCGCACCTTTTCGAGTCTAAGTACGTACTTCGTGGTAACGGTACTCCATCTTTTTTTCGGTACTTGATTTCAATAAAGCGTTATCGAGTGCCTACTTATAGTAGCACATCCCTAGCCATGAGCTCAGATATAAAGATGCAAGAGAAGATCCTTATTACACCGTTATTCAAATTTAGGTTAAGTCTTCGGACAAACCCCATCAAAACAGTAAAGTCTGTATATATACGAGTATGTAAGTTAATTCCGCTTAAGATAGTGCTACATATTTTAGTAAGAAAAGAATGCAGCATGCAAATCGCGATTCATTAATCTTTGAAAATGTGAAAATATACATATAATACGTTTGTATGTATATCTTTTTATACTTGGAAGCAGCTTATCATTATTTAAGGAAAGCACATAAATGCGTCATACAAGTTGTATATATGTTTGTATATGCAGTTTATAACATGGACTTTGTATAATCCGCTAAATAGCCTTTATTAAAAAATTAGCATAAAATTTATTAGTTCCATAATTACCCCTCCTAGCGAGCTCCTATACATGGTTGACTATGTGCAAATGTCTTTGTTAAAATATTATATTATTTACATTTCCTTTGGCAACCAAATACAACCCTTTGAACTTCTCACCTCACTTTTTTACCGCAATTCGAAATATTAATTTAAATTCTCTATGGACTAAACAAATATTTACACAAAACCGCTGATTTATTAACTTTATGTACGTCGTTTTTTATCATAAATATGCTACAACAAATATTTGCACATAAATATGTATATTTGTTAGTGGCAAAATTCTAAAGCACAAAAGTTATCACACAAAATTGCTAAGTGTGAAATTCAGCACGCAGCTGCATATGTAAAAATAAATTGCTCGGTTGGTCGTCGTCAATTAAGTAAATCACGGTATTTAAATAAGAATTATTTTTACAAGCGTTTTGTAATGCACATAAATTAATATTTTTTTTCTAAGCTGGCGGTTTAGCGGTGATAACTCTGAAGTGTAATTTTGTATTTACGTCTGAGCTGTAAATTTCACAACACTCCAGTACTGCTTGGTATAGAACACCGTTGTTTGCTGTTGGTGAAGAATAGTAATTGATTAAGAAATCTTTCTGAAGCTGATGGATTGAAATCGC